CACACACACACACACACACACACACACACACACACACACACACACACTTTTAAAAAAATTCTAAACTGAGTAATGAGATAGTATCAAGTTCTGGCACCCATGAAAAATAAACCTGACTCTGAACAAAAGACTCCACTCCTGGTACATCTCAGAACAGGAAGGATTGCTCTTACAAACTGGGACTGAACAGCTTCCAGGGTATTAGAATTTGTAAAAGTAGAAATCTGAATACCATAAAGAAACTGAGAAATCGACTTAGCAAGAAAGACCTTGAGGACTGCTAGAATAAGCTGTGTTCTCTTTAATTGGAAAAATCTGAAGATAACTAAGGAGTTAAGTTGAGCAACACTGAACTAATGGTGTATATTCTAAGAAATATGTATTCCCAAGATAAAGAGGAATTTATCCACAAGATATTTATAAGTTCATTCCTGTTCTATTGAGTTTCCATTAATTTGCCATTTATGTGTATGTGGTGCAGTCCATGGGGGGGGGGGTTTTATAAAAATATCGCTTTACATCAGGGCATATGCCCATATGCGAATGGCTTTGTGAAGTCCCTGAATCACATGCTCTTCTATTGCATAGGCAATTGCAGATGACATTGACCTATCCCAAATACCCTGGCAGAAAGTAAAAAGTTTATTTGTCATTTCTGAGCAGGACACTAATGTATCTTCTAAGGTTAGTTGATTCTGTGCCTCTATTATATTTGTCTCACTTATATCTGAAGAATAGTATTAATCTTACAAATGAAGGTGAATATATGTGTCCCAGGATAATGTTGCAGGATTCAATCTGGTTCAGTCCCCAGGATCAGAGGTTTCATCTTCCAAGATTTTGGACTGGTGCTGGAGCTCATCCTCAGGGACCTTTTCTCTGAGGATGGGCTCCTGCATGAGTCCAAAAGCTTGGAAGATAAAACTTCTGGTCCTGGGGACCAAACCAGATTGGATCCTGCAGTACGAATCTTGGTGATTGCCATTATTGTTGTTCTTGGTTGCATAGTCAGCCAGACATTTAGACTGGGTTTGGCATTTTTATTTACCTACTCAGTCCTTCCCAAGGACCTGGGACAAGGAGATGCTAAAGCTACCTTTTGCATTGCCTGATGGTGATTTTGTCAATGCTGATGGGTATTTAAGCAGTCTCCAGAGTGTACCTATTAAACGTGTCTATTACTGTTGCTGTTATCTTTGCTTTCTATTATTGTTATTTATTATATGTTCTGCTTACTTTATATTTGCATCTATATATTTGAGGTTTATCTATTTCTGTGTATATCTAAGATAATTGATATATTCTGAGTTTTCTGACTGTAAAACCCAAATAAAGACAGTTAAGAATACTTTTATTTTGAAATTGTTATCTGTTTCTACTTCCTCTAAAGTTCTTCATCTCTTGTTCTTACAAGAGATCATAGTTTATTAGGTCAGCTACTTCAATCTCAAGAAGCAGATTGGATTATTTCAAGAAACTATAATTGGCTTCCCTATTTATCCCATGGGAGGGCTCATTCTTGCTGGTAGTTCTACTTTCTTCCAAAAAAACCCCCACTGTATTTCATACATCTGTTCTTCTCAATATAATATAATGATTTATACAATCTAGAAATCCCTTCCAGTTGTACATCCAAGAACACATTACCTTTTCCTCATCACTTGGTTTTGGTAGTAGTTTAGTTTCATGATAAGCCATGCAGAATTTTTTTGCTTGTTCCCATGTCAAGCTTTTTTCTGGTTCTATATAATAACAGCTGTTATTCCAATACCACCATCCAAGATCTTTTGGACATTTAAGATGAATTACATCTGAAAAATAAACAGCTATGGTATATTTAAACAACTAAGCAATAAGACAAGATTTACAGAGTTTTGCTGCTGTTGTTTTATAACTGCTAGTACAATAAATTATCCTCAACCATCCAGTAACACAATAAAATTGTGTACCCAATAACTTAACAATAACTTCATAACTGAAAGGAGTTAACTTTTAAAAATATATTTACTTAAATTAACTATTGTCACTCTAAAATCAATGTTTAATTCCTTTATTTTGAAAGTCAAGTAAGACCTCAGGGGTATAATTACAATTGGGACTAATCTATGTGATGAATTGCTTCATAGTGATAATCTATAGGTATCTTATATTTCATGTTTAAAATCAGATGGAAATAATTCTTGTTGAACAATTCCCCACATGTAATAGCACAGTATTTTGTTTTTTTAATTATAGAAATTAATGAGTTTTAAATTATTTCTGTTGAGTTGTTCTTGAGTGAATCAGTTTTTGAATCTGTAACTAGTTTGCCATGAGATTGCTCTTTTATACCAATAGAAAAGAATATTTATAGGTCAGGGTTGAACTGTGGGACCCTTAGTGCTCTCTGAGTTTGGCAATACTAGCAAGATCAGAATGTACCAAGGATCCCATTGCTGTTTTGCTTCTGAATACTGCAGACAAGTTTCCTAAATGAAAATAGTTATTTTTCTCAAAGTATCTTATTCCTTCTAAAATCTGGACATACAATTTTTACTATCCTTCAATTCTTCATGAATCCCAGTTTGAAAACCTTAAATTATTCTCAAAATCTTTACACATTTGATTTCATTTTAACCATCACCCATTTCAAAGAATAACATAGAATAATCAAGGAAACAAATGGATCATTGGACAAAAATCCAGTAAGTTCTCCATCATTCCACGACTCATGTGTCCTTGTCCACTAGCTTAGAGGTAGAACTGAGGTGGAAGGGATGCAGTTTTCTTAGTTTCACGAGGCATTTAAATGAGAAGTCAATTCAGACTTCTCATTTAAAACACAAATGGCTGAAATTATAATACTTCAAACACATTATATGAAAAACTAATTCTTTGAAACAGTCTACAACATTGAGAAAGGTGGAAAGAAAGGGAAGAAGGAGATTACTATGGACAAAATTAATGAACTCCATTACAAAGATAGTGGGTTTACTGCTGGAAGACTTGATGGACCAGATTGGGGAAAGATCATTCTGAAGAAACTCTGTCCTTGTGGTTGCTAAAAGTAAATACTGACTTAACAGTGGTTCAAATCAGCGAATCAATCAAGCACCTCAAAGCCCATTGTTTCTTCTTGCACAAGAGTATAGAGAAATAGGTCTATTGATCTATTCATTTCAGCAAATTCAAAAGATTCAGTAAAATTCAGTAGGTTCTCCATCACTCAAGGACTCGTGCCTTCTTGTCCACTAGATTAGAGGTAGAATTGAGGTGGAAGGGATGCAGTTTTCTTAGCTTTGTGAAGCATTTTGTAGCCTTCAGTGGTTAATATATTATTGTATTTGGGTCATTAAAGTCCACTTAAGAAAGTGGGACAGTAAATAACTTATTACCCAACTGGTTGCTTAAATGAAATTCTCCTCAGGGGTTGTATAAAGGGAAGAAAAGTAATTGCCATTAGACAGGAAGTTGTCAGGGTCTCACTTCAACTATAGATTCTTCCTCAGTCATAGTTTGGTGCAGATTTTAGTGTTCTGATAAACTGGAATATCATAATAATACTAAAATAAAACATTACACTGGATATTTGTCAGCAATGCCCCCACTATACTTTAAACTGGATGCCCAGAGACTCTCTATGAAAAGAATCTAATACAAATCTGAAGCAGCAGTATGCAAAAATATGGGGTGGGGATGGAGACAGTGACTGTTCAGAGTGAATAATACTGTCCCATTTCCAGGTCCTTGGAAAGGATTCAATAAGCAGACAAAAAATCCAGTCTGAATAACTGACTGACTGTGTGACAAACAATAATAATTTAAAGTATAAGAAACTTTCAGACTCTTAAAGGGATAAAAGTGAAGGATGGTAGAAAGATTTTTCTTTTCTTTAAAACAGAGATATTTTTCAATAAGAGTATTTATTTTTATCCTGCCTATGTATTTATGTTTGTGTGTCCACATCAATGCAAGGTGGTGAGCGTCACCACTACGCATTGGTTACACTTTATTTTCCCCACAACAAACTGTGAGGTTGGGCTGAGAGACAGCAGTGGCCTGAAGTCGTCTGTCTGTCTGTCTGTCTATCATCTTTTAAGCTACTGGCATCCAACTTGGAAAATAAACCTGGATAACATGCAGCAATGGCAAAATAAAAAGTTTAATTAAATTCAGGCCAGAATGGTTTTCATGTACATTACCTATTATACAATAAGGCCAATACAAATTTAAGAGCATGGTTTCTAAAGCTTACATATGAATTGAGATCAAAGAAAGGGGAACTTAAAAATATCAAATAAAGTATATTATTTTAAGAGATAATTTCTTCTTATTTTCCTTTTTTGTTTTTCCTTGTTATTTTAATGTTTATAAATCATAGATAGTGGAGAGTTTGATACTAAAGAATATGTGTTTCTTTTTTCCTTTTTTGATGGTAGACTGATTTTAATGACTATGTTAAGAAAAGTGAAAGGCTGAGAATTGAGGACACATAGAAAAAGAATGCAATATCAAAGTGGAAACAAGAAATGCAGTATACTGACATGTGGGGAACAAACCAAAAGAATTCAATATTTGAATAGTGTGAAAGCAACATAAAGGGAAATAAGGAGAAGATAGATGGTTTGTGAAGAAAAATGTTTTGTGTAGATTTACTGAGCTTGACATAGGAAAGCATATACAAGAAAAGTAGTGATCAGGCATTTGGAAACCCAAGTGGAGTTCTGGAATATAAAGACAGAACTAAGTGTCAGAATGCCAGTTGAAAGTCAGTTGTTTTGTTGAGATCACCATAAGGGAGTTTTCCAGAAAATAACTAAAGATCAAAAGCAAAGTCAAAGAAAAGAGTTTTCCTCTGTGAAATAAAAGTTCAGCTACATCAGAAAAAGCGGTTTAAGACACGGTTTTAGAAGCCTGAAACAACGGGGATAATTAACACCATCAAAATAAGCATAAGTATTGCAGTTGAACCTTTTTCACTTCTTTTACTGAATAAATGCCAGTTTCATGTAGGGGACAGGTACTAGATTATATTAAGCTCAAAAAGGTGTACAAAAAACAGCAGCAAGATCAAATTGGTATAAACTAGAAACAAAGAATGCAGCAAAGAATACCAATGAAAGGGAATATTTGTAGCTCAGGATTCCCCCTTCTGATATATTTATAGAAGAGAGAAAAAATTAAATTGCGTACCTTGTTGACAATTATTTTTTATGTGGTTTTCATTACACTGCTCATTTTCTGCACACTGTCCATTTAATGGATTGCAACTTTCACTTCCATTGCAGCTGCAAACCATGCCACATTCTGCACCATAATAACTCAGTGCACATGCTGCCAGAAAATTTCAAAAAAATTAATTGTCCCAGAATAATAATTACAGTGTTATACTCTCTTCCCACAATTTTTATAACTGACATAGATACCAAAATACTCAAAGGGTGAAAGGAAAGATTCTTGAATTATCATAAATTTCCATTTTCATGAAGTGTAGATTGCCCTGGATCTGTTTGTTTGTTGCTTCTTGCAAATCTAAGAGATTGTTTTTAAAAAGCTATCTCATCCTACATGACTTTTCTCCATGGCACAGCACTATAAGAGCTAGTTAATAGGCTCCACTCTGTGACTTTAAATAATTAAATTAGTTTGGCTTACCCTGGTGACTGCAACTGAAAAATTCCTGCCCTTGACTTTAATAAGTTGATGGTCCCATCTTTCAAATCCTGAGGGGGCCATAGAGTAAACGAACATCTGTTGTTATTTCATTTCTTTCGATGAAAATCGTCTATTGTGTGCCTGTTTACTCATTTGTAATCCCATCCTCTCTAACAACAATTTATTTCCTTCTGGTTCGTTAATCCAGTACCAGGGTGAGCATTCCAGTGGTTGGAAGAATGAGGTAAAGACCTACACTACAAATCTGATTTATGAATTGAAGTCTGGAGACTGTTCTTATTCCTTGAGTGCATTGCAGCAAGGAAGCCCCCCACCCCCCGCCCCAGTGCTGCGAATATACTTGGGAATATTTTATTAATAAACACTATTTAAAGTTTGCTGATGTCCTGATGCATCCCGTAGTATTCTCATAGTTCGGTACCTGTCCCGCAATTCTAAATTAAGCTCTGACACACAAATGAGTAGCAATAGATACTATGCTAGATCAATGTTGAAACAAGAAGTGGGAGACTATTGTCACAATGTGGTTCTAGAAAAAAGCAATTGGGAAAATTGATTTGTAATTATGTATTTCTGAATATCTTAAGTCTATTTCCATCTTCTCCACACCATTTGAGTTGGATGAGTCCCTAGTCTAAATTTGTGCTAATTGACTGATACATCGATTCTTCATGTATAACATCCAAAATGGTCCATTGCAGCCTTCCTCCCAAAATCTATATAAACTATGACAAAGCTTAGCATGAAGTCAAGCAGAGAATTTTTGATCTCCCTTCTCTGCTAATACTAGCTCATCTATCAGCCTTTCACTATCCCCAAAAACTTCTAATACATACTTGTGGGAATGCTCATGCTGGCACTCTTTACCATCAATGGTATCGACTCAGAAATTCAGTAATATCCTCTGTCCAGAGTATTTATGTATATGTTCAGCACTGAAATTGAATCAGTTGCACATGCACTTTTCAAATGCCCTATAACCCTTGAAGGACAAAGTTAATCTCTCATCTAATCACAAATTACTTGAACCCGTCCCAGCAGGCAAATATGTGTTTCCTATTAAATGACCAAGATTGTAAAATCTCTAGACAAATGGGCATTTTTTTTTTTGCCACAGCAACGACTTGGGATTACTGTATGTTTTATAAATTATGATTCATGTTGTGATAGTGTATTAATGCTCAAAATAAAATACTAAGCAAACATCCAATGTGACACACATACCACTTTTCAAATATGCTGTAAAGAAAGTTGCATCGTTACCAATGATAAGCACCAATCGTTTTGCAAGTAATATTATATAAATAGTTCTTATTCTCTGAATTCCGGAACAATGTTTTCCTTCAGTTCTACAGTGTTGAAAGGCTTCACTTAACGATGTATGGTTGGCTGATTTACTGTCTTTGGTAAAGCCAACAAGAAAATAGCCATCAAATTTACGGAAATCCTTTGTTTCTACAATATGAACAAAATTGATTTGGAAAATTAACCATGTTGTCTCTAGCAAATTTTAGTTAAGTAAGTGATTCCTTAAGTATTTTAATCTTGGATTGCTTTTATCACACATTTCAGGAATATATGCAATTACTCTAAGGCAAGATGGTTTTAGGGATAAGATTTAAACAATCATGGCAAATTAGATGTTAGATTATATCTAGAGAGGCATATGGTTTTGATAAAAACCTATGATCAAACTCATGATTTTAATAACAATAATAGAAACAGAAATTCAAACATTGCAACTTCTTCTGGCACAAAAACTACAATAGTGACTCTTTCATTTTCAAAATATCTGTATGCCAAATTGCAAAAGGAAGAAGAAATTCATAAATATGTTGGCACTATTTAATTTTTAAAATAAAAGGGGCTCAAAGCTGAATACTAGATACAAAGATATAAACTTGAGTCCACTTATAGTGAGATGAAAGGGAAAGGTGTTCTCTGCTTCTATTTAAATTAAGAATGAAATTGGATTCTAGATTAGGAGAATAATGAGGAAATATGGTTCCTTCAACACCATGATGAAAGAAAATAGAAAAAAGCGAAAACAAATCACAACCAATATTAACAATATTGATGTAAAAACTTCAGTTACAGAGTATGATAAACAATAAGCATTTTGTGACAAATAGCAGAAAGGAATTTGCAATGGTGGGTGAAAACCTGGCATCAGCCTATATATGTAATCCTCCCTTAGCAACTGGGAGGGATCAAGACTCAATTGTTAAGTATTGCTGTCACTACATGAAAAATCACACAAGTGTGATAGGTTTACAACCTCACTTTCCTTCCAGTTTGTTAAGTTAAACATCATGTGACCATGACTTATGATTTTACTTCTACCTTGTCTGTTATTTCTGCTTGTTGCAAACCAGTTGTGAAAGACATAAATGACAAACCCATGATTGTGGGACACTGGAACATTCATAAATGCACAGACAAAGCATTGAATTGTGATCATGTGACCCCAGGATGCTGCAACAGTCATAAAGGATTGATTGCAAAACTATTTATTATGCTACCATAATTTTGAACAATTGTGAAATGAGGCAGTCAGTCAGCAAAGAGAACCTTAATTTGAATACACCAGGAAGATCAGACATTTACACAGAGTAGGGCTGATTTAGGGCTCAAGCTGTTTTAATTTTGATTGACATAGGATGACCACATGAAAAGGACAACGACTTGGTAGGGTTCCAAGGTACTGGGGTGGGGTGGGGTAACAAAATCCCAACATAGGCTCACAAACATTTGTATGAGTGGAAAAGGTAAAAAATGTATACAGCACAAAGTGAGCATAACAACTTAAAGAAAATTTTTCTTTAAATATATTTGTTAGTCTGATTGTCATTTTAATAATATTGTAACTATGATTTATGATCCATGACCTATCATGTATTTGTATGTATACTGAGAGCTTCTGCATTGGAGATAATCACTTTACCTTCTTCTCTTCTTTTGCAAATCCATAAATTGTTCCAGATACATCCAGTTCCTATCAGTGAACCTTTAGGAACAGTGAGATATACACAGCACTTCCAAAAGATTGACCATGATTTCTTATATAACCTTGATTTCAAAGCAATTGAAAATAAAATAAAATAAAATAGCTCAGAAAAACCTCAAGCTTGTGATGCAACAAGGAAAATTGCAGTCTTCTAAATTTTCAGTCATGAAAATATAATATATACAAGTATATATTAAAAGGATAATAAAAGGATAATATATATACACAGAGCTAGAGGGGAGAAAATGTTCTCAATAAACCAAGGAGCAAAAGTTAGAGTTCACTGAAATTTAAATTAAATTATTTAGAAAAACTATTTGGTTAAGGCCTATTATGACATAAAAGTATTTAACTTACCATTCTATATCTAAATCTGAAGCATTAGTGTATGACCATCGCACATAGGTACAAAATTTAATCCCATTAAGACCAATCCAGTAAGTTCCACTGGGCAATACAGATAAAAGGAATTTCTTACAAGAGACAGAAATTGGAGAATATTTATTTTTTTGAAACACTGAATATTAGTTCTAAAAAAACCTCAAAATGTGATCAAGAGTGTTATTTCCCATTGAAATAATTTCCTAGAAAACCAAGTGTTACAAAACAAAAGCCATCAATTTACCTTTTCAGCTGTACTGGTTATCCAGAGAAGGTCTGTATTGCTATACTGTCTGCACATATATCTTGCCTGTCGCCATTTTTTATTTTCTCCTTTATGGATGTAGTAACAGCTGCCACGCCAATATATCCAATTATCCTCAACAGGACATCTTCCACCAATCAAGGTTCCTAAAATATAAATACACAAATAAAACCAGACTTAGTTTAATATATACAGTATATGATCTCTATAAAAACTTTGTTTGAGTGTGTAGTTGAAACCTAAAGCAGGACAATTGTCCACTTTTCTTCAGAAACATCCTTCAGTTCACTATGCCCTTACTAAAAATGACCTTACTCCAAGTGAGCCTTCCAATCCAATCCAAGCAGAATTATGAATGGCTTCATTCTTGAATACAGAAATTTAAACAATCAGTCCAACAACAAAAACAAACAAAAGCACACAGGATTTTTTTAAGGATCTATCTCTTCATATGTGTTCCCAAGATAGCTTAGAATAGACAGGTTTTAATGGCTTTACAAAACATCAACCATTTTCAACTTTATGCTTTTAATTTTGCTCAGTATGTTTAGCCACTTTCTCCAGATGGTAACATCAATTCAAATGAAAAAAGTATTAAAACTGCAGGTAGGAAATTCCTACATCATAGTTCTTATGACATTCCAAATATTATGATCATATTCTGAAAGGATGTAAAAGGAGAAAAGCTAGCTCTTAAATCACCTGTTTGGCAAGTGAATGAAGAATCATTTTTGCTGCAAAACACGCTATCACTACACAACCCGGTATGTGGGTTACATGGTACATCATCATCACACTTGGGACACACACGCTCACATGTCTCCCCATATCTTCCAGCAGAACAAACTATTTAAAAAATAAAATAAAAATAAAATAAATAAAAAAATAAAATGTTACATCAGAGTAAAGAAATAGCTTCTATAATTCACCCAATAATACCCAATAATACCCAATACCCAATAATAATACCCAATAATCACCCAATAATAAATATTTTCAATGCGAGAAAATAATGTATTATCTGTGTGTGAGAGAAGGGTAGATTTTTAGGTAATATCAAATACATTTTTCAAGGAATCTGCTTAATAAAATTATTGTACAATAATATTTATGAAATCTATTTGAATCATTGATGCATAGATTTTTTCTTACTTAATGCCTTGCTTTCTCTCCCATATGAAACCTGCCACAGTAAACCTGCAACAGTAAACTTCTTTGGGATGGGACATATCCTGTAATTTTACACACACACACACACACACACACACACACACACACACACACACACACACAGACTCATGGTACATGCACTCACATATTTTTCATTTACATATACACATCCATTTAAGAGCACTCACACAATAACAGGCAGAAAGGAAAAGCTTCAACATCTCCCCTATCCTTATTACTGAGAACTGCCCTTTGTCCAGAGTATCCTCTTCCACTCTGCCTCTTTTAGCCCCACTTCTGATATAGCTGAAGTTACTAAAATATTGTTGGTAGAATAGCAGGCTGCTTACATCCTGAAAGCATTCAATATTTATTCTGGCAATTCTCTGAGAGAGGCAGAAAATATAAGAAACCATTATAATAATTAGAACGTTCTATGTTATTTTGGGAAAGTCAGTCCTAGACCGACAGGAAACCTTGGTAGGTTGTAAGTGACATACAAGAGATTTAGAAAAAGCATACACTAATCTCTTGCCTATATTAATCTCTGCAGACAAAAACAAATAGTAAAGAATCATATACATATTTTCACTGCATACTTGATTTGATCGAGGTTCTGACTATTTTGTTTCTAGTATTATATAGGTCTATACTATTGTGCAGGATGAAATATTTTCCAGAATGTGTCACTCCAGTACACATTTGCCAGGCTAAACAGGCTTGCTTAGCTTCAGTCAAGGTAGAATACTTAGGCATGACTCCATCAGGAAAATAAAATGCTCTTCCATCATGTTCCGTAAAGAGATCAACAACTGTTGAAAATAAAAGCAACCATTAAATAAAACAATTTTTATAAAATATGAAAATAAATTAACATGCAACTGGTTAATATGCATGATTTAAGAAATGAAAGCATGCTCCTAAAGTTTGCATGGGTTACTGATACTCATTAGATTATCATACAGTTTTTTACAATGACCTAGAACCAGTCTGATGATGATGATAATGATGATATCTAATTATATCAGATTTTCAGCAATTCTATGGACCATCTCCCTCCATATTTTCCAATCTATACTGCTTCTTTGTTTTACGCTCTGACAGATATCGCTTTGATGGTGGCTAACTACTTTGGTTTCTGGAGGCCCTGTTTTCTTTTACCACAGATCATTCCAAGCACAACTGCCTTTTCCAGTGAGCGTGATTGGATTATGTTATGTTTGAGGCATGGGTTTAATGAACGGAGACCAGACTGTAAACCTTGAAATTCAGCTCTTTATTCTCAAGCATAACAGAGACAAAAAAAACCCGGCTAGCAGTCACTCTTTTATAGAGTAAGCTGCTACCCGGATAACCAATGGATAGCATTATAGCGTTTGAATCTTGGCGCGGCCCGCCAACAGCCAGTCAGATTGCTCGGAATGAACCAATCATAACTTGCCATTATATGGGCCAATAGGAAGTGCAGGATTACGATCCTGCTATGCAAATGAATCTTTATTAATTACACTTCTTTAGTTCACAACACCCCTCCCCCCTGGGTTCCGTTTGACGGCCGTGGTGACATAATCACGCAGGTATGCAGGTCATTTTACCTGCCTATTTGATTTTCGCTGTTCCACCGGTTTTTGTTTAAAGTTCGGTTCCGGTGGAACGCAAGGCTCGTCTTCGCACGGGATTGATTCTGCGGTGCTGTTTTCGACACTATCAGGGTCCCTTAAGTCCATTCCTGGATCGGGCGGGCATGTTTCCACTACGGTGTTCCTCTGCGGGGAGGATGCCCCCGATCCCGGACCTTCTTCAGGTGGCGCGAGTACTCGGTTTAGCGGCCGTCTGTCCTCGATTACGTCATCGTCTATACGGCCTTCGTCCCCCTCGGTATTCCCTCCCCCTTGAGTTTGGAAGTCCGGGGGGTCGCGGATATTGGGTTGTAAACGAGATCGAAGTTGATCTATGTGGTGTTTCCATATCTTGCCGTCTGTCGTCTTAAGGCGGTAAGATCTAGGGCCAGTGAGGTAGATTACGGTGGCTGGGACACACAACGGTTCGCCGGAAAGGTTTTTGGCGTAGACCAAGTCGCCTACCTTGAATTGGCGATATGTTCCGCTGGATCCACAAGGTTTCTCTGGTGAATAAGACGGGTGTAATCGGTCGAGGTGGGAGCGAAGCTTCCGCCCCATTAAAAGTTCGGCTGGAGTCTTGTTGGTGACACTGTGGGGGGTAATGTGTTGTAGTAAGAGTATTTTGTTCAATCTAGCGTCGATGTCCCCCGGATCCATTTTTTGTAGTGTCTTTTTAACGAATTGGACCATCCGTTCCGCCCTACCGTTTGCCGCAGGGTGAGCCGGCGAAGTTAAGGCATGGCGGATGCCCTGGTCCGCCAAGTATTTTTCGAAGGTGAGAGCAGTAAACTGGGGTCCGTTGTCAGAAACTAGAACGTCCGGGAAACCGTGTGTTGCAAATAATCTATCTAGTTTTTTAATAACGGAGTCAGTAGTCGTGCTTTTCATCTTGTGGATTTCGAGCCAGTTGGAGTAAGCATCCACGGTTAGGAGAAAAGTGTGTCCTTTAGTGGGTCCCGCGAAATCAATGTGGATGCGGGACCACGGGCCTCGAGGAGTTTCCCATTCAGTGGGAATTGCTCTCGGTGGGGCGTTGCTGACTTCTTGGCAGTTTCTACACGTGGTTACCCAGGCTTCAATTTGTTTATCGATGCCTGGCCACCACGCGTAGCTTCGAGCGAGAGCCTTCATGCGGACAATGCCCGGATGTCCTTCGTGCAGGGTTTGCAACACGAGTCGCTGTAGTCTCTCTGGCACGACGACTCTATCTCCCCATAGGATGCAGCCCTTCTGGGAAAATAGTTCCGTTTGCCGGTGCTTGAACAGTGCAAAAGTGGCGGGGGTTTCTTCGACTGGCCACCCGCGTTCGACCCAACTGAGAACTTTTGCGAGGATAGAGTCTCGTTTTGTGCCGGCAGCGATATCTCTTGCCGTTAGTGGCGGCGAGTTGAGGGTTTCAATTTGCAGCGTAGTGAGGGTTGGAGCTGGGTCGCTGACGGTTTCCGGAAGTGGGGAACGGCTCAAAGCGTCAGCGTGGGGAATGGCTTTCCCCGGGCGATGCTGCAGTACGTAGTTGTATGCTGCTAGGAATTCTGACCAGCGAGTCATTCTAGGCGATAATATATGCGGGGTTGGTTTATCACCTGCTAAAATGCCAAGTAAAGGCTTGTGGTCTGTAATTAGAGTAAAGGGCCACCCATAAACATATTCGTGAAATCGCTTCACGGCCGATACAATAGCAAGAGCCTCTTTGTCAAGTTGGCTATAGTTCCGTTCAGCCTTCGATAATGTCCGCGAAAAGTACGCAATGGGAGCTTCATGCCTGTTTGGTAACACGTGACTCAAAATGGCTCCAACCCCAAATGGTGATGCGTCGCACGTAATATTTAATGGCAAAGTCTCGTTGTACTGCATTAAAACAGCATCGGATGTTAACAAGTCTTTCACTTTTTGAAAAGAGCATTCTTCTCGCTGTCCCCAGACCCAGGTGGCTCTCTTGTCGAGAAGTCTATGTAGGGGCTCAGCTACGGTCGCCTTCTGGGACAAGAAGATGTTGTAAAAGTTAATAAGTCCCAGGAAAGCCTGGAGATCAGTCTTATTTTTAGGTCTTGGGGCGTTCTTGATTGCCCTGAGTTTGTTTTCGGTAGGGTGAATACCGTGTTTATCGAGGAGGTATCCGAGAAACTCTACCCTTTCAGTGCATAGTTGACATTTATTCTTTTTAACCTTGAGACCGGCGTCCTTAAATCTATGTAAAACCAATCTGAGACGCCTTTCAAGCTCTTCTCTATTTGGGGCAGCAATTAAAACGTCATCGAAGTACGGTACAACCCCTTTTATTCCCTGTAAAAGTCTCTCCATTAGACTCTGAAATATCCCGGGGGCTACACTCACTCCGAACTGGAGTCTGTTGCATTTAAAGGCACCTCGGTGTATAACGATAGTCTGTGCCTCTGCAGTTTCCGCATCAACGGGTAGTTGTTGATACGCTTGCACTAAGTCTAACTTTGCAAAGATCTTCCCACCGCCCAGGGAGTGGAGAAGATGTTGAACCACCGGCACCAGATAAGCGCTCTGTTGGAGTGCGTGGTTCAGGGTGGCGCGGTAGTCTCCACAAATTCTGATCGACCCATCCGGTCTGATGGGGGTTACGATTGGGGTTTCCCAACGGGCATGGTCAATAGGCTCCAACACCCCTTGGGCTATTAACTTATCAAGTTGCTCGTCAATCTTGGGTTTAAGGGCGAACGGCACCCAACGAGGCTTAAGGCGGATAGGGGCTACTTCTGGATTGAGGCTAAATGATATAGGGGTCCCCTTGTACTTGCCTAAGTTGTCCGAAAACACATCGTGGAATTCCTGGATGATGCTCTCTTCCCAATCGTCGTTTCCGGCCTGGTGAATGCCGGCCACCTCGATCCCGAGTGGGGCGAACCATTGTAGGCCTAGTAAACTGGGCCGGTCACCATCGACGACAGTTAATGGGAGTGACACGGCACGATTTTTAAAAGATACTTGGACTTGACTCACTCCGACGACTGGGATCGTGTTCCCTTGGTAATCTCTGAGGATGATTTTCTGTGTCCTGAGGTCTTGACGACGGATGGCAGGGATCAGCTGTTTGAGGGTCTTCCAGGAAACCATTGAGAGGGACGATCCAGAGTCGACTTCCATCAGGCAAGGTTGGTTCTCGATGGCCACTTCCACTCGGATCTTTTGTTTGTCTAATGACGAAGCGTGGCCGATAATAATAGTCTGGTGTGCCTCTTCTCGTCTTGCTGGAAGAGCAGATGTAGGCATGGTTGTTCCATTGGTTATTCAAACGATCCCGATTTGCAGGGAGGTTCCCTGTGGTTTGGCGGAGGTTGTTCTCCTTTCTGTTTGTGTTGGATTCCCTCTTACTTCTGCAGACCCGTGCGATGTGGCCTCTCTTCCCACAGGAACGGCAGATTGCGTCGAGGAATTTGCAACCGGATCGCGGATGGTTTCCCCCACAACCCACACATGGGCGCTGAAATTTTAGAGTTTGTTGATCTCGTTCGGCCCGAAGTCTGTTAACCTCTTCTTCATCACTCTCGGACTGGGACTCGAGGTCCTCATGGTGCGCTGTTGCTGAGTGTCTTTCTAGTTGAGGCGAATTGACGGGCGAATTGACGGAGCGGTGCGTTGGTGCGACGCATTCGAGCGGCCGACTTCTTGGTTGCCTCTGCTGCAGTAGCGTCTGCAATGGCATCTGCAAGATCGATGTCCCCTTTTGCCATGATCTTGCTCTGTACTGTGTGGTCATCTAATCCCAGAACTATGCGGTCTCGCATAGCTTCTTCTAGGTCTGAAAAACCACAGAGGCTTCCAGGTTTCTAAGGTCAGCGATGAAGTCTGCAATACTTTCACCCTTCCGCTGATCCCGTTGATAAAATTCGTGTCTCCGGACCAACGTTGGTACGGCGGGGGCATAGTGAGCCCGTAGGATAGGTTTGAGGTTGTCCCAATCCATTGATTTCACCTCAGCCGGTTTCGCGAGCGCTTTCGCCATCCTAAAAACGGCCGGTCCACAATGGGTCAAGAACACCGCCCGCTTCTTTCCTGGTGTAGCATCTTTCAAATTGTTGGTTTCTAGAAACATTTGAAACCGATCCATATACGACTCCCAGTCTTCCTTTTCCGGGCCAAAAGGAGCGGGTGGTATAGCGCCACCTGACATCCTGCCGATGTAGATGCGCTCTCAGCCACGTGCTTCGGTTGGTGCTCTATAGGGTTTAGTCAGTTCTTTTGTCTCCGCATCCCACCCTCGTCGCCAGTGTTATGTTTGAGGCATGGGTTTAATGAACGGAGACCAGACTGTAAACCTTGAACTTCAGCTCTTTATTCTCAAGTATAACAGAGACAAAAAAAACCCCGGCTAGCAGTCACTCTTTTATAGAGTAAGCTGCTACCCGGATAACCAATGGATAGCGTTATAGCGTTTGAATCTTGGCGCGGCCCGCCAACAGCCAGTCAGATTGCTCGGAATGAACCAATCATAACTTGCCATTATATGGGCCAATAGGAAGTGCAGGATTACGATCCTGCTATGCAAATGAATCTTTATTAATTACACTTCTTTAGTTCACAACAGATTACATGATCAAAATAAGCATGGCAGAATGTTTTGATCCAGCTGTATGCCTGATTTTATATCCTCCAGCAATTGCCTGTTTGTCACCTTTGCTGGACAAGGAAGGTACAGGAGCCTTCACCATCAGTTTAAGGAGTAGAGGAAGGGAAAGATCAGAAGTTCTACTTTTTTCTAAGATTCTAAGTTCCTTGTGAGAAGAATGTGGTTTGTATTAAAAGATAAACGGAACTAGAACATTAACAGCCTTTTTAATACTTTTGATTCTGTTAGAATTCTGAGTCCTATTTCCACATAAAGGTTTTTTTAAATTCAGTAACAAAATTCAAGGTAGGCAAAAATCCAGCTATATCAGTGGTGACAGAAGGAGAAACCTCCAGGATGCTTTACATCTCCAACTGACTTCCATACACCTTTTTGATTCATAAGAACTCATCAGTACTGTAGAAGAGGTAAGGAACAACTCCTCTGAAAGCACAATTCAAATCAGAAAAGTGACCCTGTAGAGGAGGACCTGGTCGCAGGAATTCCCTGTCATTCAGTCAGAACAGAAGAAGCTTCTTGGGTGGGAAGCGAAATGTTTCCAAGGAAAAAAACCAAGGAAGTCCATTTGCCTTTTGAAAAACACCTTTTGGACAACTATGACCTAGGTGATTGAAAATCTCCATAGATTTTCTACATCAGCTGGCCTAAAAATGCTCTCAGGGAGCTTCAAGACAACTCTGGGTAGTCATTCTACCCTAGCATCCCAGCTCATAGCAATAAAACTTTAAAATGCACATTTTTCATTATCAAAGAAAAGTAAAAAGTGTGTGTGTGTAAAAATTTGTGTTAAGGATAAAAAGGAAACTATTACAGAGAAAGAAATAGATGAGCAAATATAGTGAGCAATGTTTAGAGAACGATAGGAATGAAACTGGCAGCATACTGCTACTCAGCAGAGACAACATTTCAACCATTATTTATATTCATCTTCTTAAAGTAAGTGGAAGAGGAAAGCACTCTGAGGATATTCTTATCTACATGGGAAAATATACTCCTATTGTATCTGTATAGGCAATAAAGAAGGTTTTATTCCAGCAAGATTTTTCCTAATTTGGTCTCAAGGACAAGTTTTAATTGCAGCTTTTAAATGATTTTTATGTTTCTGTTTTATTATATGCAGTTGTCAGCTCTGATTCCTATATTTTGATGAAAAATAGTTTGACTGAAATAAGTAAAATAATAAATGACAAAATATTCTATACCTATTTACTAAAGAATAACTGAAACACATTAGCATTCAATTTAGAGTAAATATTCTATACCTATTTACTAAAGAATAACTGAAACACATTAGCATTCAATTTAGAGTAAGCACGCATATGATTCAGCTATGTATACTGAATGGTGTACTGTTCATTGATAATTTTCACCAGATAAGTGACCTATACTTTGAGTCCCTATCAAAAGCCATACATACAAGACATAATTCTATACCACTTTAATTATCATGAAGAACAATAATTTGCAATCATTATGAAGCTGTCAATATGCTTTTTGAAAAAACAAATTATGATAAATTATTTCATTCACCTTCTTCTCTTTTGCAGATCCATTTTCTGGGACGGGAACAATCTGCCACAGAAAGATAATCTTTGAAAGCAACTCCACAGTCATAATTAGAGGGTATGTGTCTTCTATTTCGCCTAATCACCCTGTCAATAATTATAAAGAAAAAGTATTGTCAAATGTTATTCTTAAGCCCTATCACAGTTTAATAATATAAAATAAATTTGGTAATGATCTTCAAATAGTGATCTAAGATTAATGAAAGGTCAGTCTGGCTCAATGAATAGGGGCATCCCACATAGAAAACTCAAAAGTTCTGAAGCTATATCAAAAAAGACAGCCATTCTGAAATCGTTGTTTCTAAAAGTTACTAGCCTAGTTCTATTTTTCACATATCGAGTGTAATTTACTACATGAACATTTTTTTATTGTAATACAATTCAATCTTCTTTTCTAAGTTGCCCAATCAGATTAATTTAATGTTAATAGAACAGCTGTTACAAACCCTGAAACAAATCAAGTTATTTAAACCAAAATTTGAAATTGATTTAATATTCTTGGTTGTTACACAGTTGATAACTAATTTCTCAGTTTGGCCAGATTGAGAAACTAGTTAAAAATATGGCGGTTTGATTTCTCATTTTTCAGGAAAAAGGGAAAGGACTTGTTCATTATTAAAATGCAGTATCAAAGCAAGGATATTTTGGCTGTCCAAATTGACAAACCAATTAAATTTCTGAAAATAAGTACAAGTTTTACTTATTATACCACTTTATTTTAATCATTTTAGATTTTAGTAAAATAAAAAAGCAATTCACAATGATTACATTGTATGCAGCTGTTAAAAGAGATGAGCAGAACAAGTTGAAAGATCACTAAGTTTTTAATCTCTCTCTCTCTCTCTCTCTCTCTCTCTCTCTCTCTATCTATCTATCTATCTATCTATCATCTATCTATGGCAGCTTAAGCTCATACACTGACTGAATAACAACTAAACTGATTATTTCAGAAACAGTCTCACCAGGCATTTTGAAAAACTGAAGATGAAGTATCAACCCAAAGATACTGAGAGGATCGCTTGTAGAAGATGAAACCAACCCAGCTGTCATCTCCTTTGTATTGTACCCACATCTGAAAACAAAACAGTCATCTGAACTATGTATTAATATGAGCCTGGAAAGAAAGTTTGGTCAAAATAACAACTGACATCTGTTCAAATTCATTCCATTTGTCCTTTGAAAATTAATATTTAACTAGAGGGAAATTTCTAAAGTCTATTTTTGAGCAAACATTAAGATTTATATCCAACATAACATCCTACACTCTAAAATAGAAGTTTCAGTTCAAGAACTTCTAATATACTTATTCTTCAATTATATATTCCTCATATAGGATGCCCAAGGCTTTGCTTATACGCATATTCCTTTAAAGTGAGCGTCTAACAATATGTACACGTTATATTCTAACACCAATGTTAGCTGCAGTGACGTTTAACACCCAGCAGCTACTTTGAAACTTACTCTCAGTCATGTCAGAATTACTGTATATAATCCACAATTAACAATTATGATTGGAGAGGCTTTTTCACCAACTTAATATGTTTTGCCAGCTGAACCAATTTCTAGGGTAGAACATCAAATCAATTAGGAAAATCTGGCAATGCACTTTTAAAAATACGTATTTTCAAACATTTCAGTTGGAAAACTATGAGAAAATTATTACTATTAATAATAAAAGAATGGTGAAACAATATTGAGATTTTGTTACATTAAGAAAATTAAATATTCTGAGCTTCTGGGAGAAAAGTAGTACATAAATCTAACTTTATATACATTCTATGTAAATAAAATGAAAGAGACATTCAAAAGGCTCTTCTTCCTTTTTTTGCTCAAGACTGAATTTTGTGCACCAATTGTGTTTATTTTAGCTGATTTGCACATTTTACGTGCCAGATCAATTAGAATTAGTGGTATCAATCGATGCTTGACAGTAACCTTTGTGAATTGATGTACCTACATGGTAATCATAAGACTATTGTACCGATTGATTATGTACATGGCAAGCAAAGACTTTTTGGAGATTTTAATACCAGTGGAGGAGGGGGCTGGAACAAGACTGGAACAAAACATAGAAATTAACTATGCAAATTGACTTTTATATGCAGATTATTTCATTTTATTTATCATAACTGATGTATTGGAGATTATTGATTTCTGAAGCATGTAAAGTATCAGAAATTAAATAAAGTGGAAGTTGTATTTGAAACAAATGATTCAAATTCTGTGTCAGCAGAGCACATCTTTGCTATCGTACAAAGAAAAAAAGGGGGGGGGGCTGAAAATGATGTGGCTGCTTCATCAAACCAGTCTTAACTTTTTTCAATGTTTTATAGAAGTTTGGAAAAAGAGCTGGCATCTGATTGATTTAATTATTCAGTTTTTGCCCCAGCTTACCCTGAACTGATCCTGGGTAAAAAAAATAAAAAGTATAGAAATAATAATAATAATAATAATAATAATAATAATAATAATAATAATAATAATAATA